GAGAGAGAGAGAGGAGATATTAGAGACTAGACAGAGACTAGAGGTTTTCGAGTGGTCCGAGTGACCGAGTGTACGGCTGTACGCTGTGGTATGATAGTGGTACACTGGTACTGTACTACTGGGTCTAATATACACTCATTTTAAAAGTTATTTTTGACGTTGCAACGTTTGTCGATGATAATTGATTTTATACACAAGGAGGACTATAGGTATTCGAATAATTTGACTGGGAACAGTAGGTCAGTAGAAAGTAAGGCGGAAGCTTTCTTTTATTTATTTTACAACTTTTGTCAGTGTTTTTCAAATCCTTTTTTGTGATCTTTGTTTCTGTTTTTCTGTTTCATATTTCGACTAAAACAGAAACGTTGCATCATTCTGGAATGTATTTGCTTGGATAGAATTCTTTTGCGGCCACGATAGTACATCTATATTTTGGCCACACGAAGTGAGAAACATGGGTCCATAGGATCACAGTGCACAGGGTCATGCAATTTTATGCTTGATATTCAAATAGTTTGCTAGAGAGGACAAACCTTGATCTGAAGACCAGCCGTCATGAGGGTACTAGGATCACAAACATAAATACATATAGGAGGAAGGCCAATCCTTCACGTTTACCTCGGTTAAACTGACAACGTTTACTCACGTGGCATGCCCGAATAACAACGGACGACCCCGGGGGCTTTTGTCCAAATTTGGTTCATTTGGGCTGTCCCCGAAAACAACGAAATATCATTACATACTTATATCTAAAAATCTAAAAATATGGTCCTGGACTCCTGGACCCTGGTTTCTATTATTAATTTTGATTTAGAAAAAAAACAACAACAAAAACAAATAGTGGAACTCTGGGGCTCTGGGAGTCTGGGTCCCTGACTCCCTGGGAGAACTCGGGCACTGATTGTTTTTATATTCATGAATCTTGAAACAAATACTTTCGCCGGTGTCCACCAGCAGTTGTTTTTTTAATTGTTTTCTAAAAATATAATGTATTTGGAAATTAAAACACCTGGACGCAGCCGCGCAGGCCGCAGGGCAATCCCCTTTCAATTTTTATTATTATAATAGAAACTAGAGAAAGTCATACATAAATAAAACACCGCTGACGTCGGTGGGAAACTAAAAGCTCAGAAAGGTTGGTGGACGGGATTTTATTTATTTAAAAACACAATTTTAATTATTCAAAAAAAAAAAACTACATAATCGTTTGCAATGGAGATTGGAGGGTATTTATTGGTGTTGAATATTTGGTGTCTGACCATATGTATTTATTCAATTGGGACTGGATTTTGTTGTATTTATTTTTTAGGCTATGCTCAAGAGACCTATTTTCCAAAAGAACAGGCTATCCTGCAATAGTGTTCGATTTCTAGAAGGCTTGAACCTATGAATAGGAGGTGAATGTATGTTAAATTGTGAAAATTCGAGATGAAGAGATAATAGTAACATAGGAATAGTCTGTACTGGACCAGTTTGATTGCATGGAGTTGGCAACCGACGGCAGACAGGTCCTTACAGCACAATGCCAAGGTTATTATGCTAGGAAAAATAGGGTAATTGGCGTACATACGAACCAAGGTTCAAAATTTGGCGAGTCACGTAATTAGATCAGACACGCTTTGAGGATAAAAATATGGCAGTTCTCGCTCGCAACGTAGAAACCACTGAGTATATTCCTCATACGGCGCTATTAGTAATCAGTCCAAGATCGAAATGTTTTTTCCTTTGACCACAAGCTCAAAAGCCCTTTTCACCGGTACCGACAATATACAGGGAATTAACGCAGAGACCCTATTGCTGCAAGACCACTAGAAGTATTCCGTTCCGGTCTGGGCCGTCGTCCACGGTAATCTAATCATCACTGCATAGAGTATCACGACTATAATATCTGCATATAAACACACACGAATGCTATGACCACACACACGCA